GGTATAACTCATAAAGGCTATCGTCTGCACAAAGTTTTCTTGCTCAAATCGGTCAAGGAGGAGATAGAGAATATATTTCCTGATTCGGATTCCATCGGCCCCCCGTCAAAATGATGAAAAAATATTAAAAAATCATTATTTTTTCGATTATTTGTTATATAACTCAGAAAGGCTATCGTGTGCACGAAGTTTTCTTGCTCAAATCGGTCGAAAAGGAGATAGAGAATATATTTCCTGATTCGGATTTCATTGGCCCCCCGTCAAAATGATGAAAAAATATTAAAAATCATTATTTTTTCGATTATTTGTCGTATAACTCAGGAAGGCTATCGTGTGCACAAAGTTTTCTTTCTCAAATCGGTCAAGAAGGGGATAGAGAATATATTTCTTGATTCGAAACTCATTGTCTCCCCGTCAAAATGATGAAAAAATATTAAAAATAATTATTTTTTCGATTATTTGTTGTATAACTCAGAAAGGCTATCGTGTGCACAACATTTTTTTCCTCAAATCGGTCGGAGAGGGGATGAAGAATATATTCCTTGATTCGAAACTCATTGGCCCCCCGTCGAAATGATGGAAAAATATTAAAAATCATTATTTTTTCGATTATTCGTTGTATCATTTTGACGGGGGGCCAATGAAATCCGAATCAGGAAATATATTCTCTATCTCCTCCTTGATCGATTTGAGCAAGACAACTTTGTGCACACGATAGCCTTTCTGAGTTATACAACGAATAATCGAAAAAATAATGATTATTTAATATTTTTTCATCATTTTGACGGGGGGCCCATGAAATCCGAATCAAGAAATATATATTTCATCTCCTCCTTGACCGATTTGAGCAAGGAAACTTTGTGCACACGATAGCCTTTCTGAGTTATACAACAAATAATCGAAAAAATAATGATTTTTAATATTTTTTCATCATTTTGACGGGGGCCAATGGAATCCGAATCAGGAAATATATTCTCTATCTCCTCCTCGACCGATTTGAGCAAAAAAACTTCGTGCACACGATAGCCTTTCTGAGTTATACAACAAATAATCGAAAAAATAATGATTTTTAATATTTTCCATCATTTCGACGGGGAGCCAATGAGTTTCGAATCAGGAAATATATTCTTCATTCCCTCTCTGACCGATTTGAGGAAAAAAGTTTTGTGCACACGATAGCCTTTCTGAGTTATACAACAAATAATCGAAAAAATAATTATTTTTAATATTTTTTCATCATTTTGACGGGGGGGCAATGAGTTTCGAGTCAAGAAATATATTCTCCATCCCCTGTTTGACCGATTTGTGCAAGAAAACTTCGTGCACACGATAGCCTTTCTGAGTTATACAACAAATAATCGAAAAAATAATGATTTTTAATATTTTTCCATCATTTCGACGGGGGGCCAATGGGTTTCGAATCGAGGAATAAATTCTTCATCATCTCTCCGACCGATTTGTGGAAAAAAACTTTGTGCACACGATAGCCTTTCTGAGTTATACAACAAATAATCGAAAAAATAATGATTTTTAATATTTTTTCATCATTTTGACGGGAGGCCAATGAAATCCGAATCAGGAAATATATTCTCTATCTCCTCCTTGACCGATTTGAGCAAGAAAACTCTGTGCACACGATAGCCTTTCTGAGTTATACAACGAATAATCGAAAAAATAATGATTTTTAATATTTTTCCATCATTTTGACGGGGCGCCAATGAAATTCGAATCAAGAAATATATTCCCTATCTCCTTCTGGACCGATTTGAGCAAGAAAACTTTGTGCACACGATAGCCTTTCTGAGTTATACAACAAATAATCGAAAAAATGATGATTTTTAATATTTTTCCATGATTTCGACGGGGGGCCAATGAGTTTCGAATCAAGAAATATATTCTTCATCCCCTCTTCGATCGATTTGAGGAAACAATTTTTGTGCACACGATAGCCTTTCTGAGTTATACAACAAATAATCGGAAAAAATAATGATTTTTAATATTTTTTCATCATTTTGACGGGGGGCCAACGAAATCCGAATCAAGAAATATATTTTCTATCTCCTCCTTGACCGATTTGAGCAAGAAAACTTTGTGCACACGATAGCCTTTCTGAGTTATACAACGAATAATCGAAAAAATAATGATATTTAATATTTTTTCATCATTTTGACGGGGGGCCAATGAAATTCGAATCTAGAAATATATTCCCTATCTCCTTCTGGACCGATTTGAGCAAGAAAACTTCGTGCACACGATAGCCTTTCTGAGTTATACAACAAATAATCGAAAAAATAATGATTTTTAATATTTTTCCATCATTTCGACGGGGGGCCAATGAGTTTCGAATCAAGAAATATATTCTCCATCCCCTGTTCGATCGATTTGAGGAAACAATTTTTGTGCACATGATAGCCTTTCTGAGTTATACAACAAATAATCGAAAAAAATAATGATTTTTAATATTTTTTCATCATTTTGACGGGGGGCCAATGAAATTCGAATCTAGAAATATATTCCCTATCTCCTTCTGGACCGATTTGAGCAAGAAAACTTCGTGCACACGATAGCCTTTCTGAGTTATACAACAAATAATCGAAAAAATAATGATTTTTAATATTTTTCCATCATTTCGACGGGGGGCCAATGAGTTTCGAATCAAGAAATATATTCTCCATCCCTTCTTCGATCGATTTGAGGAAACAATTTTTGTGCACATGATAGCCTTTCTGAGTTATACAACAAATAATCGAAAAAAATAATGATTTTTAATATTTTTTCATCATTTTGACGGGGGGCAAATGGGTTTCGAATCAAGAAATATATTCTCTATCTCCTTCTTGACCGATTTGAGGAAGAAAACTTTGTGCACACGATAGCCTTTCTGAGTTATACAACAAATAATCGAAAAAATAATGATTTTTAATATTTTCCATCATTTCGACGGGGGGCCAATGAGTTTCGAATCAAGAAATATATTCTCCATCCCTTCTTCGATCGATTTGAGGAAACAATTTTTGTGCACATGATAGCCTTTCTGAGTTATACAACAAATAATCGAAAAAAATAATGATTTTTAATATTTTTTCATCATTTTGACGGGGGGCAAATGGGTTTCGAATCAAGAAATATATTCTCTATCTCCTTCTTGACCGATTTGAGGAAGAAAACTTTGTGCACACGATAGCCTTTCTGAGTTATACAACAAATAATCGAAAAAATATTGATTTTTAATATTTTTCCATCATTTCGACGGGGGGCCAATGAAATCCGAATCGAGAAATATATTCTCTTTATCCTCCTCGACCGATTTGAGCAAGGAAACTTTGTGCACACGATAGCCTTTCTGAGTTATACAACAAATAATCGAAAAAATAATGATTTTTAATATTTTTCCATCATTTCGACGGGGGGCCAATGAGTTTCGAATCAAGAAATATATTCTTCATCCCCTCTTCGATCGATTTGAGGAAACAATTTCTGTGCACACGATAGCCTTTCTGAGTTATACAACAAATAATCGAAAAAAATAATGATTTTTAATATTTTTTCATCATTTTGACGGGGGGCCAATGGGTTTCGAATCAAGAAATATATTCTCTATCTCCTTCTTGACCGATTTGAGAAAAAAAACTTTGTGCACACGATAGCCTTTCTGAGTTATACAACAAATAATCGAAAAAATAATTATTTTTAATATTTTTTCATCATTTTGACGGGGGGCAAATGAGTTTCGAATCAAGAAATATAATCTCTATTCCATCCTTGATCGATTCGAGCAAGAAAACTTTGTGCACATGATAGTCTTTCTGAGTTATACAACGAATAATCGAAAAAATAATGATTTTTAATATTTTTTCATCATTTTGACGGGGGGCCAATGAGTTTCGAATCAGGAAATATAGTTCTCATCCTTTCCCTGATCACTTTGAGAAGGAAAACTCCGTGCACACTATAGAGCCTTTCTGAGTTATACAACAAATATTCGCAAAAATAATGATTTCTAATATTTTCTTATCATAATGAGTTCAGAGTCAGGCAGTATATCTCATTTTTTATATCCGATCGATATGTATTTCAATTCGATATAATATGGTTAAAAATATTACAAGAGTTCTCGTGTATACGATCGTCTATTGGATTAAAATGGCTGCTATCATTCCTTCGTGCATCTTCTTTCTTTGGGCGCACGGTACATAATCGAGCATCTCTGGCGAAGTGGCTGCCAACTGCGGCTGCTGTTTTCACACAAATTCCCAACAACATATAATCTCCAGAAGTTCAAAAAAAAATTCAATACCTACCTTCTGTCCCTATCCTCCCTAGGAACGCACGATGTTCTTTGAACATTATAGGTATTCCCTTTCGTGCGCTCCAAGAGCGATAAAAAAAACTTGTTGATACTATCGATAGAACTGCTCGTTTTAGAGAAAAACGAAAAAACGAGACCATCAGACTTCTAATTTTGATGTATGAGTACTCCATTCAGGACATTTCGAGATTTTTATACCGATCAATTACATAGCAGACTGAATGTTGCCATGACGATAAGATACAGTGTGGACAAAAAATAATCTATGCATATTTTCAACATTGAAACCCTCTGTGTCTCAAAAATTAGGACTTTCACGAGATAAGTTCATATTATGAAGTTCAATTCTTGAAATGGGTCGAATAATCGGCCTCTTGAATATTAGCATTTCATTAAAGAACATATCCTGCATAAGGGCCAAGGCATTGAAGAAAAAATCCACCTTGGCACTCGACAGATCTCCAACTTTGCGAAATCCACCGCAGAAAGGTATTGACATCAATATTCAAAGACAAGCAAGACACTTTTTCTCTTATTTACGACACCATAATATCCTTAGCCGTTAGTACCCCTGCCGTTTTCGCCTTTGAACCGCCAGAACGACCAGACACTAATATCGACTATCGATATAGCACCATATTTCACCTGTGGTTTCACCTTTTCGCTCTCGATTACAGTTCGTCTGTGTGATATGGCAGTGTCTGATTTTTTGTTCGTGTGTCTGCTGAGCGCTCTGCCGGGTATGTTAATAATTATTGGTTGATCTTGCTTTCACTCGAAGAGCGATAGTTTTTTTTTCGCTTTACGTGAAAGTGAAATGGTTATGTAAGGAAAATAGAGCTTTGCTGAATTATTATTTAATTGGCGGGAATATGTCCAGTAGACAGGGTCCCAACGATTTGATATAGGGACATGCAGTATTGCTATTTCCTAAACGGTAAGAGGTAGAAAGTTTTTTTTGTCTCTTGGAGCGCACGAAATTAGAATCCCAATAATGTTCGAAAATCATCGTACTTAGGGAGGAAAGGGAAAGGATGTAGGCATTAAATTTTTTCTTGAACTGTTGGAGGTTATAATTATTTTTTAAGAGTACTTTCTTTGGCAAATAATTCCAAAGCTTTATCGTTCTATAGATGAACGAGTTTTGATGACAAAAGTTGCGTTGAAATGTTATGAAAAAAATTACGAAAATCACTGATTATGTTTTCATTCATTTTCTTGGTTTATATTAGAGCAAAAATATTGAAATTTCGTCTAAGCAGGTAATCAATCATGACAAAAAATGAGTTTGCATTGTCAGAAATATTTCACCTCCATTATTTTCAAAGATTTGCTATGCAACTTTTTTTATGAGCGCTGTATTTGTTTTTCATACCATTGAAAAGAGCTGAAAATTCTTTGCCATGTATAACAAGTTGGCATGCATACATAAATATATACCGCGCCAAAACACAGTTAATACATTTTTTCTGTGACGGGAAAAAGTTTGGCATTTCGTCCCTGTTGGCAGGTTATAAAATGTCACTTTTCATAAATTAGGTACTTTCTTCCCGTGGAAAAAAAGTGAGTACTTTTTTCCCGGATATATATCACATATATATATATACACTGTGGATGGCTTTTGTTGTGCTATAGTTCCGAAAAATGAGTCAATAATACCGTCTCCGAGAAAGAACTGCAAGTCCTTTTATCTTCCATTCGACTTCGCGGTTACGTATATTACTAAACAACCACTAAATTCGCAATTTTTTGAAATCAAATCACAGAATCAGACTGACAGAAGTGACATTAGATATTTGATTACTTCAAAAGAATGATAAAGATGCCTACAACGCAGAGGTGTCCCTACTGTTAAAAACTTAAAATTTCACGTCGATAATTTTCAGATTTCAAAATAATGTAATATCTTCTCAATATTGATTCGTCCTTTCTTCTGTCACAAAAAAAATAGTGTATTATACACGGGAAAAATATTATATTTTAGCTCAAGGTTTTTTGTCTCCCTCCGCTACGCGTCGGACAAATCCTGGAGCTAAAATCTACTACTTTTTTCCCTTGTATAATAAATGACTATTTCAAATGTGGTAGACCATATTATGATAAAAATACATGACAATATCAGTCGTCATGACTACAAGTATCAAAAAAATACTTGTTCGATACATTATTCTGCAAAAAGAAGGAAACAGGCATAGAAAAACCAGGGATAAATTTTCGTCATTATAAATAATCAAGATACTTAGAAATAACTTGCTTTAAGATTCATACTGGGTGTTCCTTAAGTTATTCATTTTTTCATGTTAATAGAATATCTGAGAATATTCCTTTTCAATACCTTCACACCCAATATAGTGTAGTAGATATGCGATAAAAAATGGTCTCAGGTGGAAATGATTCCCACAAATTTTTTTTTTTGCTTTTTTCAGTTCAGAATGCATAGAATAACACATATGAGAAAATATAGAATGATTCCTGTGTGCAAAATTAAGTTACAGTGTTTCCAATATTTGTTTATTCGTTAATACGTATAAGTCATGAACCTGATAAAAATGGCATATTTGGCATGTAACAGAAGTTCATTCATTATCTTCAACTTCCTCGATTGGAATATTGGTACCTTCCCGAACAATTATTGCACAATACTGTGCAAAAAATTCCGTAACGTCGACATTCACATCTGGTTCAACAAGGTTCATCTACTTCAGTTTTGCGAGAACTTCTGTACGTCATCATATGATACAGAAAACCCAAGCTTATGGAGTTCATCGACAAGTAACCGATATCGAAAATATCGATGATACTGCACACCAACACCTAGACGAATTGAACTTATGATAGAGATCGTTGCCTTGCAGCTTGCATTAGTGCCTGTTCAATTGAATTTTTCTCCAAACTTGAGGATTTTTTGTTGATTATTATATCCAAGAATGTTTTCAAAATGTCGGGTAAAAGCTTATTATTTTCCTGCTCGGAACTTATTTCTTCTGGTGAAGGATAAAACTCTAAGGATGTTCTCATCAACTTGATTAAATTCTTAATCAGTTTAGCTATTGCTTCAACTATCCGAAATTTTTCAGCATCTAGATTTTCTGAACACTTATTTTGTCGCTGATAATCACAAATTATATTGGCAACAGGTTTCCCTGTTACGATCATATTAGCTCTATCTTTTTGTCTCAATATCATGATGTCATCCGAGAAATATTCTTCTAATTTTTTATGCATACGACGAACAGGTAAGGTTCGATATTTTCTGGCAGCAGCTCTGCCATTTTGTCCAGCAACTCCTAAAATTAAATTGGTTCATCGTTTTCCTTGAGCCGCCTGCATATTTATGAAAAGGCATCTTCTTTATTTTCACCAGAAGGACGTCCTGCTAACTTTCTCTGTTCATTGGGAATATCATGTTGATCCTTAGGAATAGAGTCGCCTTTTTCAAAATTCACACTACATTTCTGATTAAACAGAGCATCTGCTGCTGGCAAGTATCGATAACGGAAAGAAGACGTGCAAGGATATTTGATGATCAAAAATCGTTTCTTGCATCACACACATCAATAATAGTTTGTCGAAACGCGAATGTTCGTACTGGTAAAATTGCAGATTCAATTATTTTCTCAGTTTCCTTGATGAATTGGCCACAAAACAAGCAATTATCTTTGAATGCGAATATCGGCAGCTCAGATCACAAAGCTCTGTTGCTGCTGCTGCTGCTGCTACTAGTTGATGCTTCTCTACCAGGATCTGATTTAAACCTGAGATCTGAGATCATTCTTCATCTTGTTCGGATTTACGTACAAACGACGACATTCGACAAGAACAATTAGAGGATGAATTATAGGCACTGGTTCCAAGAGTTCAATTATTTTGTCTTGCTGCTACTTGCTAGTACTTATAATTCCTTGGACACCTTCAACAGTCAATTTAACACAATTCGAACTTTAACAGTCAATTTAACACAATTCGAACAGTACTTGACGAAAATAATAAACATTTGTTATCTTCCATCGCTGCATTTAATTCACTATATTCAGGTATACCTACCTGGAATAATATATCAAATAATGGAACCTTTCATTCACGATCACAGAGAATAGTTTCAATCACATACCAAAATGAATGTTTCACACCTCGACACGAATTTTGAGATCTGCTAACCATATTATCATTTTTAGGAAGATTTTGGAATTCGTTTGAATCTTATCCTGACGATCCTAACATAGGTAGCGGAACATGTGTTGAGTTGTGAAACAATCATTTCGATTTGGGCACCTGAAATATGAAAAGTTGCATTATAGTATATTATTCGACGAGCGTGTAATGATGGCCATTACTCATGAGAATGAAGTTTGCGACGTGAGCCGCAGGCGAACGTCGTAATCATTCGAATGAGTAATAGCCATTACACGCAAGTAGAATACTATACTTTTTCTATGACTGAGTGATGAACTGGTTGAGTTCATCAGCAGTGAATATCTTCGCTTTCTTTGACATATATCGATCAGATTTCCTTTTTAGAAATGCTCTTAATTTCAAATATTTGTCAATATTCACATAATTTTCCATTGAAATTGTGCTTCTTAGTATATGCATGGAATACTGTGACCACAAGGAGGATGCTTTGTGTTTAGCCAAAGTAGGCTAGCAGTACATTATCCGAAAACGAATTTGCAAGTTTTGCTTTTCGCCAAACCACTTCATACCTTTTTTTAGATTCCTCGGGCAAAAGGCTGATTGTACTTGAATTGGCAGCTTTCGAAATTTCTGATGGTGGAGAGCAGTTGAATTCATTTTTGCTTTCTGAATCCATATTTGTACAAAAAGTCAGTTCTAAATCACGCCAGATAGCTATTGTCAAATTATGACATTTCATGACGAGTCTGATTCAAACGTTTCACTGCATGCCCCATATTATCATTACAACTGGTGTCAACTGTTTTGTAGGTAATGAATCTGCTTTGTTGCTGATTGGCCATAGCCTGTTGTGTAAAGGCTCTTACACACGGGGCGTGGCTTGTTTTGTGTAATGCATCCAGTTACCCAACAAAAATGTTACATTAAAAGGGTCTAGTTTTCAACAGTCATAGAAAAAAACATTTTTGCATGAAAGAATGAATCTATATTTTTAATATAGTGTAAGGGGTCGAATGAGGCTTCAGGAAATGAAAACCGCGTTTTTGTGGAAATTATTTCCACCCCATTTCCTCCAACTGCTCTACTAATAGAGGGCTTCAAACTTGAACGTTGGAAACTTGTTATTTTTATAGACCTCTAATCGTAGATTTGTGATTGGATTCTCTCAATTCAGAATTCCTTTCCACGTCCTGTATGATGGACATCAATTTGTTATACATCCAAAAACGAATTAAAAAATATTGATAAATAATGAATTTTTTCTACAAACGTCAAAAAATGACAAGGTTCGCGCATTGATTACAAATTGCGAAGTGACACTTTTTTTCAGTTTCCTACGTTACCATGATACCCTGCACAAAACAATGCGCGAAGTAAAACAGTGCGCGAAGTACCTACTTCGCGCATTGTTATGTAAAATATATGAGATATTTATATTTCAACTTTATGGTCCTCAATCGAGCAAACATACACGAAATCATTTATTTCTGAATGTTCAACAATAACTTTGTTTGATCTCTTGGATCACACGAAAGAAGATCCCTATTATGTTCGTGGAACATCGTGCGTACCTAGGGACGATAGTGGGAGGCTTTTGAAGCCAGTTCAACACTATATTCTATATCAAACTTTGCATTTTTTTTACTTTGGAACTATATTTTTTGACGTTTGTAGAAAAAATTTTGTTTGCAACTCGAGCGCGAAATACTTTGGTCATCTCGACTATTTTTTCAACTCGGCTACGCCTCGTAAAAAAAATCAGATCTCGATCACCAAAGTAGCATTTCGCGCTCTAGATACAAAAATAACTATTATAATTCAACTGAAATAAAACTCGTGTCAAAAGACCAAGTCTTACACTAAATAAAAACCTTCAATAATGGTTATAGGGTATAGTATCTTGATGAATTATTAACGAAAAATTTGTTTTCTTGGTTTTTCCGTGCCGCATGCGTGGTAGTCATGGCTATGAAGGAGTATTGATATTGTAGTTCATGAGGACTGATATTTTGTTTTTCTAATTTCATGGTCTACCACGTTTGAAAATGGTTCTACTGTTTTTTACTATTTCATGTGAAAATGTCAATATGTTATACATGACTATGAAAGGAATTTTCAGCTATATTCAATGGTATAAAAAACAAATATTGTACCTACCCATAAGAAAAACAAAAGTTGCATGATGAATCACTTAAAATATTTCTCACAATCCCAACTTCTTTGTCATGATTAATTAATTACCTGCTTGGACAAAATTTCAATATTTTTGCCTAACTTCTGTCTGATCTCGTCTAATTTAATCAACTTTCTATCTCTCATCGTTTAGGAAATATAGCAATACTGTCCTCATTATATCTTTGGGACTCTGTCAATGGTGATGTAAATAACCTAGAAATCTAAACTATTCAAGATGTAAAAGGTGTTTCAGATTTGATAGTCAATAGAAGGTACACAAAAAAAATTAAAAAAATGTTCATAGAATCTTATATCCTTCAGAGCTCAGCTCTTCAGGGAAAATCTAAGTATGGAATGAAATACAGGGTTTTTCATTCAAAACAATCAACTAGTACCCTATGTAGATAGTTTGTTCAGAGCACCCTGTATTCTCCGATGAAGCGAAAAAAAAATTATCAAAAATCACTCCAGATGATTCTTGGGATCGGTTTAAAAATAACTGAGCTAGAGGGGAGAGGGGACATTAATGTTGAATCACCCTGTACATATACTGAGAACTTTGAATAAAATCCAGCCTAACAGGTGAACGCTCGTGAGGTTGATGAAAAATGGACCACTCTTTACTAAAATGTGAATGTTATATAACATACACTTTCACCTGAATTTATAATAATTAGTATAGTATCTTGATTATTACGAAGTCCAATTAATATACATAATATAACTATTCAGATATAATACAGGGCGAATAATCAATTAGTACAGATATTGTTTGATATATTTTTGAATATTTCACTTTGAATTTGAATAATCATCCTTTGGCCTATAAGAAAATATATTCCACCATATATAACATTGTCGTGCTTGTTCGAAATTCAATCCATGGAACAATGAATGGATGAAGGAAATTGATATTCATCTAGAGAATCATAATATAAGTACCTCATAAATACTTCACGTGAATTCAATTTCTTGAAATAACAAACAACAATAGTTATTTTTTCTGTGACGGGATAAAAGTTTGACATTTCATCTCTGTTGGCAGGTTATAAAATGTCACTTTTCATAAATTACTTTTTTTCCCGTGGGAAAAAAGTGAGTACTTTTTTCCCGGATATATATCACATAGATATACACTGTTGATGGCTTTTGTTGTGCTATAGTTCCGAAAAATGAGTCAATAATACCGGCTCCGCGAAATAACTGCATGTAATTTTATCTTCCATTCGACTTCGCGGTTAAGTATATTTACTAAACAACCACTAAATTTGCAACTTTTTTAAATCAAAACACAGAATTAGAATGACAGAAGTGACATCAGATATTTGATGACTTCAAAAGAATGATAAAGATACCTACAACGCAGGTGTCTCTACTGTTAAAAACTTAAAATCTCACGTCGATAATTTTCAGATTTCAAAATAATGTAATATCTTCTCAACATTGATTCGTCCTTTTTCCTGTCACAGAAAAAAATAGTGTATTATACACGGAAAAAATATTAGATTTTTTGTCTCCCTCCGCTACGCGTCGGGAGACAAAGAACCGTGAGCTGAAATCTAATATTTTTTCCGTGTATTATACACTATTTTTTTCTGTGACAGAAAAAAGGACGAGTCATTATTGAGAAGATATTACATTATTTCGAAATCTGAAAATTATCGACGTGAAATTTTAAGTTTTTAACAGTAGGGACACCTGCGTTGTAGGCATCTTTATCATTCTTTTGAAGTCATCAAATATCTGATGTCACTTTCTGTCAGTCTAATTCTGTGATTTGATTTGAAAAAATTGCGAATTTAGTGGTTGTTTAGTAATATACGTAACCGCGAAGTCGAATGGAAGATAAAAGGACTTGCAGTTCTTTCTCGGAGACGGTATTATTGACTCATTTTTCGGAACTATAGCACAACAAAAGCCATCAACAGTGTATTTATATGTGATAAATATCCAGGAAAAATGAACTCACTTTTTTCCCACGGGAAAAGTGGCATTTTATAACCTGCCAACAGAGATGAAATGCCAAACTTTTTTTCCGTCACAGAAAAAATAAGTTTTCCAGAAAGAGTTACCTTTATCTCCTCCACTACATGGAATTTTTGTGCGAAAATAACAATAACTAATAGGTATGCAGTAGGATATAGAAATAAGGAGATAAAAAGTTCTGATAAAGTTCCATGTCATTTTGAACATTTCCAATGCTGTGATCATGATGGTTCTATACCCACTAATTCATACCATACATACATATACTATGGAATAGTTAATATACAAAGTTGCCAATTTGAAACTGGATAGTCAATTCAGTATTCACATTTTTTAGGTCCACCAGGAGCAAGAATTGAAGATGCCTATGTTCAATTGGTCCCTATTAACAAACAGAAGTGTAGGGACATCGACCCTATTAGAGATATATCATACCAATTGTTCACAAGGTAACACATTTTCAAATTTTCAGATGACAATGTGAAGGGGGAGATCGAATGATATACAGGGTGTTCCTAAACATCATGTACATCCGAAAGGGGGTAATTCCTCAGCTCATTTTAAGACTAAAAGTTCATATAAACATTGGTCCGCAAACGCTTTGTTACCGATCTACGGGGTGTTGAAATTTCAAGATTTTTTTTGTTTTTTCTTTATAGATCCTGCAGTTTTTGAGATATGTGGCTCAAATTTGAAACATAGATTATGTTATAGGGCTTACATCGATGGACATCTCAAATGTTTGTGAGAATCTATAAAAAAATTGAAATTTCAACACCCCGTAGATCGGTAACGAAGCGTTTTCGGACCTGAGTTTATATGAACTTTTAGTCTTAAAATGGTCTGAGGAATTACCTCCTTTCGGATGTACATGATGTTTAGGAACACCCTGTATACCTAATTTAAAAATCTTTGAAATCTCTGTTTAAACCTGAGAAATGGAAAAAAAACATACACCCAAAAGAAAATGACGATGAACCTTATCTATAATTTTGGTAATATTTTCAAAGTGAAAAATAAAAAAGTCGAAGATTCGATGAATTGGGACAAATTTAAAAATTACTCTATGCACGACCGCGCGGTTGGCACCTTTTCTAGGGCGATAAAGAAGAGTACAGCGGCCGGTAAAGTAGTCCGGAGGGCAGGAAAGTGTACGTGATCGGATGGTAAAGGGTAGAGTAATTTCATTGTTTTTCCAGTAGGTAATGGGCGAGTGGACTGATGATGTATCATTAGCATTCAATTACTCCACTGTGTCGTTATATAGGAACCTGAAGTAATTTTTGCTACTCTTCTCACGCTTCATTTATGTAAATAATGAGTCTATCCGAACCAAAAATAAGTGTCCTTGAGACGTCCCATTCCGTACATCTCATGCTATGTTCGAGCAAGGACGTCCATGGAATGTCCCAGCTGGTACATCATATCAAATGTCCTAGAAATATCATCCTTCAGACGTCCCACGTACGTACGTATACGTACCTACGTAGTACATATTGTAGAATGTCCATGAAAAGACGTCCTTAGCATGTCCCTGATGGGATTTAATTTCGAAAGTTTGTTTAGGGACATCCATCAGATGTCTCAAGTAGTAAATTTCCTCTCCCATCTCGAACAACCAGGAAATATCCCAGACGATACATTTTTCCGAATATTTTTAAACGGACGCTCTTAAAATTGCCAGGATTGTATAACATTCGACAAGTGCCTTAGAGACATCCGTCTGATGTTCCAATTGGTACATGAACTGTAATGACTTCGGACGTCCCAAGGACGACCTCAGATAGTCCTCAATACGATTCGGAATGTGTTCTAAAGGACATCCATCGGTGTTATACATTGACACCAGGACTTCAGATAGACATCCCGTATAAATGACCTTCTTGAGAGCGAATTTTTCTCCAATGTCCTAGGAATAACGTCCTATGGATATCCTAGTCGATACGTTGAATATATTGTCCCTGCGAGGACGTAAACTTACACCTCACCGACGATCTACTTCTGGTAGGCCTTAGAAACTCCTCTTCAATATCCTTTACGTAAGTCTGTATTGGACATCCTGGGAAACCTACTTCAGGATCTATTGGGGACCTTTTACGGATCATCAACTCAACCGGATGTTCTCATCAGTTATGCAAAATCTGTTCCTAGAGAGACCCAAATAAATTCAAATTCAAGAATGATTCGCTGGGACATCCTATGTGCATTCCAGACGACGTCCTATGATCGTTTCAGAGGACATCTCATATACGTTCCAGAGGACATTCTATGGACATACCAGAGAACGTTTCGGAGAATGTCCTATGAATGACCCCAAGAACAAAGTGCTTACTGAACTTTTTCAAAGGACATCCATTGGATGATTTCCGAAAGAGGTCCAATAAATATCCTGGAGGGATATCCTTTTTTGGTGAGTAGTCGGGACATATGTACTCCTCACGGACGTGCTATGGATGTCCGCGGTACCAAGAATGCATGTCCTATGTACGTCCCGAATGTCCTATGGACGTCCCGAATGTCCTATAGACGTCCCGAATATCCCGATGAAACGTCCTCTGGATATCCATGTGACTTCAGTGTGCTATAAGGGATGTTGATAGAGGTATGGTAAATGTTGAATTTGCGAATGTTGCAGTCACCCTGTATAGCACGCGAGATAATTCAGACCCCGCCTTTCACATGTTTAGAGTAGAGATATTATGTAAATAAAGTAAACCACAGACGGTGGAATGGACTAGGTCAGTTCTGCGGTCAATATACCGAACAGCATTTCTAATGTCAAATGGCAATGCTAATTATATTTCCTTATCAGAAATACAGAGTGACTGAAGAAAAGCGTCCCTGGCGATAGCCCCGTTATTCGTCCGATTCCGAATAAGTGAATGAATTGCAAATCTTATGAGGAAACAAATAACTGTTTCCACTTCCAGCGATTGTGTTTTTTTCTCATTCTGAATGGGATTTTCTTCTAATATAGAGACGCATTTCTCAATACAATGATTTATAAATATTCATCATGAAAAATGATGAATAATAAGTTTATCTCATTGTACAACTTATTATACAAGTTTGATTTCTAATTTTCAGATCTGAAAAAATGTAAACATTTGCTCGCACTGTATTTTACTATTCTTATGAAACTTCCCATAATATCCTATTCACATTTATTCGACAGCACTATGTAACGGATATACAGGATGTATCGAAATAACACCGAATGAACTCAAGCGGCGATTCAGTGAGGAGAATTAAGGTGGGTATTTGGTAAACAAATTTTCCACAAATCTCTGCCTTGAAAATAAAAAAAAGTATTTTTATGTGTAGTTCCATCAACAAATAATATAAACATTTTTTTAATCATGTTGGGGTGTAAGTTTTCCGAGAAGAGATTTATCAAAAAAACTAATACCATCAGATACCCACCCTCCTGAAAATGTACCGTTTCTCCATGAGACGAGTTCAAAGTTCACACATTATTGTTCGTTGTTCAAAAATGAGTAAAACAAATTGGATAAAATTGGACGAAACTGCCTTTTGGAGGATAACCCTTCTTCCAATAATCAAAGAAATTCGAAAGGAATTGTTGAAGAGTTGAAACCATCCTCATCCCCTGACATTTTTCCAGAATATTCTTAGGGGTAGTAAAATGGTTCTCAAATTCTTTGAGCAAGATGACTGAATAATTAAATTCATTTAGTTACCCTTTTGAAAATTTTGCATTCCGCATAGTTCATAGTTCCGAAGGAAACAATGTATAAATAATACTAACAGATATTCCTTTTAAAAGTTAAATAGAATTGTAATGCAAAATCAGTTGGCAGTTGAAACAATGGAATTGACATTTGAATATATGGAGGTAGGCGCTATATTGAAAAGTAATTGAAGAAAAAAAAAACGTTCTGCCTATGTTTCCATTGTCGACTAAATTTTTTGTTGTAATGATATTGAACTTCAACTAGGAATATCTGTTACCATTATTTAAGGAAGAATAATTGTTTTCTTTCGGAACTATGCGGAATACAAATTTTTCACGGAAGTAACGAAATGAAGATAATTATACAGTCATCTCGCTCCAAAAAACTCAAGAACCATATTATCACCAATATGAATGTTCTGCAAAAAAAATTTCAGAAGGTGAGGGTGGTGTCAACCCTTCCACATTTATTTTGGATTTTTGATTTCCAAAACGAGGTCAATCCTATTTAATGCACTACGTAAAATTTCATCTAATTTCTTTCACTCATTTTTCAACAGCGTACAAAAATGTGTTTTTCTATATGAACTTTGAACTCGTCTCACTGGTAAATGGTACATTTTTTTCTGTGACGGGAAAAAAGTTTGGCATTTCATCTCTGTTGGCAGGTTATAAAATGTCACTTTTCATAAATTACTTTTTTCCCGTGGGAAAAAAGGTAGTACTTTTTTTCCCGGATATATATCACATACATATACACTGTTGATTATCTGTGGACTATGGTTATAGTTCCGAAAAATGAGTCAATTATACCATCTCCGAGAAAGAACTGAAGTCCTTTTATCTCCCATTCCACTTCACGGTTACGTATATTACTAAACAACTACTAAATTCGCAATTATTTGAAATCAAATCACAGAATTAGACTGACAAAAGTGACATCAGATATTTGATTACTTCAAAAGAATGATAAAGATGCCTACAACGCAGGTGTTCCTACTGTTAAAAACTTGAAATTTCACGTCGATAATTTTCAGATTTCAAAATAATGTAATATCTTCTCGACATTGATTCGTCCTTTCTACTGTCACAGAAAAAAAAAGTGTATTATACACGGGAAAAATATTATATAGATTTTAGCTCACGGTTTTTTGTCTCCCTCCGCTACGCGTCGGGAGACAACACAGCCTGGAGCTAAAATCTACTACTTTTTTCTCTTGTATAATGAATAACTATTTCCGTCGACCTCGTATTAACGACTAAGTTTAATGTATATGAAATCGTTCATTAATGACCCCTCTATTAATGAACGATTTGTCTATTAATACACGATTGTTTTATAGGCAACCAAACATACACCGCGTGCATTCATTGTTTATGCTATATCTCAGGAAATCTGCATTCAAATAAAAAATATGGATTTCATTGAAGATTTTCCGTTAACGGATTCGCCTTTCCAAGTTTCTGACACGATTTTAATCCCTGTTTTCTAACACAAGGAATGTATTTTCTATGTTGATCATTTCGACAGATGTCAAATGTCACTAATGTCAGTAACAAGGCTACTGGGTGATTCTTAGCAGTTTCCAGATGAATGATGAATTCGCGAACCAAGTTTTCTTCATTGCAGGAGAAATGAGAAATATAGTCGACGGAAAAATTTTGTAACCAACTTGTATATTAAAAGGCGATTAATACACTAGTTGGCTAAATAAATATTGTTATATGATTAAAATGGGTTCAATCAACTTTTTT